CACTAAGAAAATACAAATAAAAGTATTTCAATCATCTATTCGTAAGAAAACAGAAGGCTTCCTGGAGGAAGTGACAGTTGATATGAATTTTGAAAGATGCATATGAGTTAGCTAAATGAAAAAGAACAAGAAAATTTCAGGCCAAATAAATAACATAGGCAATATCTTGGAAGCATGAAAGCAAATGACATAGTCTTTCATCTACTTTATTAGCCTTCCCTTTCATCTTTGTTTCTATCACAAATTTTAAAAACACACACCTTTTTTTATCACCATCCAAGTTTTTGATGAAATATTTAATATATGCTTATGCTGGCTTTGTATGCCATGGTATGGTAAGAAAATGATTCAGTTGGGACAACTTGACACTCACTTATAACCTGTATTTCTAGAAATTAACATCTGTTTGCCCAAAGTCTCCAAATCAGTGAAAAAGGTTTTGGCCCAAAAGAAAATATGAACTGGTTTTATTCTCCTAATATTTATGCAGCTAGTAAAGAGGAAAAAAAAAAGAAGAATATGGGACAGTTGCTCTGGCAATCTTTACCTTCCAGACACTGGGTCATCCGTTTTCTAGCGGATGGGAAAAGAATTGCCACCAGCCAGAGCTTGTCACAAACAGACCACTAAATCTAGAACTCAAGATACTATCAGATTAACTCATTTTAATTTTTTAAATGTTTATTTACTTTTGAGAGAGAGAGAAAGAGACAGAAAGTGAGTGAGGTAGGGGCAGAGAGACAGGGAGACACAGAATATGAAGTACACTCCAGGCTCTGGGCTGTCAGCAGAGAGTCCGATGTGGGGCTAGAACTCACGAACTACAAGATAATGACCTGAGCTGAAGTCAGACACTTACCGACTGAGCCACCCAAGCACCCCAAGACTGGCCCATTTTAATGAGCTAAGCAATGACTTTCACAGAGATTTAGCCTGTATTAGTTAGAGTAACATCAACACTGATGAAAGCAAAACATAACAAAATAAAATTTCAATGACGTCATACAACAAAATTTAACATACACTTGACAGTTTGATAGCAGTTCCAGTTCAATGGGCATTTCTTTACCTAATGATTCAGGGACCCAGGTCCCAAACATCTTCATGTTCCACTCAACATAATAATGAAGCTTTCAAGATTTTCATGCTTATGCTCATCAGTCATGGGATTGGAAAGAAAAGATGGAGAAAGAATATTCACTTCTTAACTCCTTTGTCCTACGAGTGAAATATATTTCTGCTCACATTCAATCAGATACAATCAGTCATGTGACCCTCTCACTGGTCGACTGTTTTCATGTTCTCTGGAAAGAAACAGCCAAGTTTTGTTGTCTTCAGTTGAAAACTTTACCAGGAGTGCCACGAGCTATATAGGGATTTAATTATTTTTATATATTTTAAACACACTCTCTTACAACCAATTCAAATACTTTATTTAAAAATCAACTGAATATCAGCCATTTATTCAGCACACTTCTTATTTCATTACCTCATAAGAAGCCATCTCTTGTAATTATTAAATTATTACCATTAGTTAGTCAATTCTCACTAATACATATTTTAAAGTATAACTTCAAAATAATTTAACAATTTTCAAGCTCATGAAAATGACTTTCTGAAAATCTAATAAACATGGAAGCATTTGTTATTGCCAGAAAGAAATAGGTTAACAAATAAAAAACAGGAATGGTATAACATTACTCTGAGATAGACAACATACACTAAGCTTTCTTCCAACACCATAATCAAACTATTTGGTAAAATTACTTAACAGGCTATGCATATACTAACTATATTATCACCTAGTGGAAAATATTCCATATTGTTAAAAAAATACCAAGAATATCCACCTTGTCAAATATTTTGCTGAAGGGAAGCAACTCTATGTATAAGCTTACCTTGATCTGCTTGACTCCTAATCCTCTTTTAATACAAACAAACAAAAAAAAGGTGTGCCGTGCCTTTGTAAGAGTAGGTTTTTAACCCATGTTGTCTCCTAGTGAGGATCAAGTTTTTGCCAAAGTGCTCAGGAATTATTTATTGCATTTCAAAGTGATTCTGGAAAGCAAGGAGCTATACCAATCTGAGATGGCCTGAAATCCATCAGCTACACAGTTGAAGACCCCTAGGGATCTCATGAAGCAGTCTTTAAAAATCCTAGTAAATTGGAACAACCATGACTTTCAGATTTCCCATTTCTCAGAGTTACTAAGGCATAGGAAGAGAAAGAAAGGAAGTTATAAGGAAGAGAGAAAAAAGGACCTCATACTAGGTATCCTAGGAGCAAGGATATGGTAGCATGTCATCAGAATTCTGCAGGTGTTTGTCTACCTAGTGGCTTCCTCAAAGGATTTATCTCTTGAGGAAAAAAATGGTTTTGTTCACATTCTGCAGCATCAGAAGAAATGCTTGTTATCTATTTGCAAAGGCATATTATAAACAGATATACCCTTAGACTTTTCCTTCTGGGAAACTACCAATAAAACTAATCTGATAGGAATTGAATAGGTATATTTCTATGGCGGCCACAAAATAGACAAAATATATAGTTCTTGATACTTTGTCAAAGAACTTCTGTGGCAACTTGTGGGAAGGTAGAGATGGCTTCTATTTCTTGGGTTATTTTAAGATGCCAGAAATATTAGGCTTATATTAAGAAAATGGAATACTCAAGGAATGTTGTCCTCTTTCAATTTTACTTTGATTACTACTCTAATCTAGAGCCCTTTGGGTATTTGCAGTTTGGATTCTTGAATTATGTGACCCAGAATTTTCCTGTCATGAATACTCCTCTGGAAATCCATGGAGGCAGAATACCTTGGTTTGAGTCCTCCTGACTCTTTCATTGATTCTCACTGGGACACACCATTTGATAATTAACTTTATTGAACCTCAGCTATCAACTGCAAAACAGAGATGATGATATTGATCTACCTTACAGGGCTATACAAAACTTAAATAAGATAAACTATTAGAAAATGCATAAGGTGTTAACTTTAGGAGTATCTCCAGAAATGGAGAAATCTTACTTTTTCCATGTAATGTTCAGGTAAGAAGAAAGGCAGAAAGCCTTCCCTCTGAAAGCAAAGGCCAGTGTACAGTTACAGTTAGGATAATCCCATACTTAATTTCTTTAGAAAGGATTCTTGTCTTTTATGTTTGTAATTATTACTGTTGGTCCTCCAAAAACAGATGCAAATTAGATCAATGACTAGAATTTGGAGCCTGGTGGTATGGAAAAGCATAAATGACACAATGGCTTGTGTCCGGCAGCTGTCATTTCTGAACTGATACATTGTTATCAGTGCTGGAAAAAAACACTTGACATCTACTGACACTGATTAAAGCTGATTTTCCCCTGAAATGCTCTCTCACATCTATTGCACAGTAATGAGTCATGCCCAATGTCAGCCTTTCACTTTCTGACTAAGTACACATCCTTGGATAGGCTCCAGCCGGGCTGACATCTGAAATATAATGAACAATGCCATTCTAAATTGCCAATAAATGTAAAAGTAAATGTGTGAAGAGCCATATGGAACTTGCTATTGTGCTGGATGCTACAATACATTGTTGAGCATTATTTAGCAGTGGGAACTGTGTACAGTAACGGATGGGTGACATAATTCTCAGTGTGAAGGCACCTTGAGCAAAAAAGGCAACTTCTGAAATAATAATCATATAAAAATGTCCACGTGCACTTCCAGACCATAGGAAAACTCTGCCAGCTTCTGTGATATATAGCCTATGCAGGATGAGAAGATTTCTAGGTAGCTAGCTGCCTTTTGAGTCAAGTTATCTGCCATCCCCGCAGTTTCTTCTCTGGGCCAGCCACTAGGCTAAACACTTGTGAAGCAGTTTCTGCTCTCAAGAATCCCATTCTGCAGAGAAGAAGACAAACTTAAACACATTATTACAATAGAATACAAGAAGTACATTGTCTGAGAAGTGTCCATGGTGCAATGAAAGTGAAGAGAAAACAGCTGTTTAATGAGGTGCTATGAGAGGAGGAAAAGGAAGAGATTGACAAAGGAAACAATAATCAAAGACTTTGGATATGGAATATTTCATAGGGGAAGACTAGGGGAAGCGGTTTTTTGGCAGAAAGCATATAATATGTAGACGCAAGGTGGGGTGAAATATGGCCTCTGTGCATGGCAGCCAGCAGTCTGGATGGCTGCAGCTTGGGAGCCCACGGGGAAGAGATGAAAACTGAGACAGAGCAGGAGCCAGATTACAAACATATTTGAGAGCTAAAGGTAATATATAGTAAATTTAACAGAATTTTGAGATGTTTCCAAAAATTATCAAGCACGTAGTAATGTTGGTTAGCCCATAAAAATGCACCTTGCAGATCTCACATTGTCTAGTGAGACTTTTCACTTTTTTAGGTGTATAATGTGTCACTGGAGCCTCCTAGTTCCCAGAGACCCAGTGATGTTCTCTTGGCAAGAATATTCCTACTTTTCTTCTGACACAGAAGCCCATAGGATGAGTGATTTGGTAGAACTTCATCAAGAAGAGTAAGGTAATGTCCATCAATCAGGAGACTGGTTAAATATTTCAGGGTACTTTTAAAATGTAGTACTCATTGCAGTTAAAATGGATGAGGTAGTTCTTTACACATTGACTTGAAAAGATGATCAAAACATGTTGCTAAGTTAAAAAATAGATTTAAAAGATGTGTACAAAGTATTGTAGGAAACACACCACAATATTACTATGACTCTTCTAAGGAGTATGCCTGAGTAAGATGGAGATTTTATTTTTGACTTTATATATTTTTGCTTTGCTTATTTGTGTTACAATGAGCTTATATTATTTTACAATTTTCACACTCCCCCTCCTCCCAAAACACAAGAGAACACAGTATAGAAAGAGAAGCGAAAAGGTAAAGGTGCGATATTCACACACACACACACACACACACACACACACACACAAACCCTTCTGCTTGGAATTCTTTTGATGAGATGACTCCAAACAACCACTCAACAAACTCCGTGGCTAATGATTTTTTTATTGACTTGATTTAATGTATGGTTAAATTAATCCAACTGCCTGGTTGTTTTGGATCCAGAGAAATAAAGCCCATGTTTCTTTTACCCCATGGATTTATTTTCTTTAGGCCCAGCTAGGTCCGCTAGTAATTTTTCCTGTAATAAAACTGTATTGACATAAGACCTCTCATTTTTCAAATTACATTTTAAAAATTTAAGGAAATTGAGGTGAGGCTGGAGGATAGATTCTGATGCCTTATGAATTAAAGTGTTAAAGGTAGGATGGGGAAGATTTCCTGAGTGCTATGAGTTAAATCCCTTCACAAGTATTCTTCAAATTAAGCCTGCTAGCAAACTTTGGTGTATGTATGTTAGTCTCTGTTTTAACAATAAAGAGGGGTTAAGTAATAAATTAGGATGACACCTAGTAAGTGACAGATGTTTTGGGATTTTAAAATAGGTCTATGTAGACAAAAACAGGCATACATTTCATCAAGATGAAAACTGGTTCTAAAGAAATTCATCATAAGTATCAACCCAAGATATCTCAGTAGTCAAAATAACTTAGCAAGGAGAAGGATGCCCATGGAAATAAAATAAACAAGCTACAAAGGGTATGTCCAATCCCATTATGTGCTGAAATCTGTTCCTCCTTCACATCTTGGCTTTTTTTAGGTACAACATAAAATAATGTCTTGAACTGAATTAGAATGGACTGTTTACACACAAATATTAGTATTTTGGTCATGGATTTTTAGGACAAGCCTCTCTACCTCCCAGAAGCTCTTAGTCATCTTCAGGCTGCATCCTTGGGGAGCTACATTCGATGACCCTAAGTCTGCTTCTCTGATTCTGTTGTTCCATTTGTCTCTTCTTAATAGTTGAAGCCAATTTGGATTTGAAATGGCTGGGTTCACTGCAGAGATTAAAGAATAATTTTGTTTACTCTTAATTCAAATGAACCCTGGAGCCTCATTAGTTATTTCAGTCCTAAGGCTTTGCTCCAGGAAAGAAACAGGAGATTGTTTTCAGACTCTGAAAACTATAAAGCACAGATCTGGTGTCCTCCCATCCTTTCAATTCTCTTCCTTTTCTTCAACCATCAATAAACAAGACAGGCTCAAAAGTACTGTTAGTGGTTACAAGATTCAATTAGAGTGAGGGAATTTCTTGGGAAGAAGGGATTTGAATTACTTGGAAGAAAAGGAGGGTTGAAGACCCTTAGGATCCTGGAAACAATAGCTGTGGACTGTCCAGAATAAGTTTTTAAAAGTGACATTGTGGGGGCATTATGTGGCCAGACTAATAATAATAGAGATTAATGAGATTCTTAACCTCTTGGGCTTCTGGAAGAATGACACCAAGCATGTTATGGATAATTGGCATGGACGTGCAGGGAATGGTGCTTCACCAAAAGGAATTTGTGGTCTTACCTATAGTTAAATTCCCTTGAAAATCTTTTTGAAGAATGCCACCTTGAAACCCTCTCCTATTCCTTTTTCCTTCAGTACTTAGGTATGTGTGGAATTATCTCCAGCATTGGAACTAACTGGAGTGTCTTTACTTGAGTGTCACGTGAAGATGTTGGCTTCATTTGGCATCCATATTGCAAGAGAAACACATCCCATAGTATACTATATTTGCTCTTCATGTAAGGAGATGCTCTCACTCTGAGAACAGACAGGAAGTGAAACTCACTAAAGGAATAACTGATGCCTCTTCTGGAGCACAGCTTATTGAGTGTAATAACTCACAGAACTGCCCCTGAGATTTAATATTTTAAAAAAAACATTATTGTAGGGGCACCTGGGTGACTCACTCAATTGAATGTCTGACTCCTGATTTTGGCTCAAGTCATGATCCAGGGTTGTAGGATCAAGCCCCACATTGGGCTTCATGCTGAACATGGAGTCTGTTTAAGACTCTTTTCTCTCTCTCCCTTTGTCCCTCCCCAGCTCACGTGAGCACGTGGGTGCTCTCTCTTTCTCTCCTTCAGAATAAAAACATTAAAAAAATAAGAAAGCATATTACTATGAAAAATGTAAAACATACACAAGAGTAGAAAAGGGAATATAAGAAACCTTTATCACTCTGCTAAAACAATCACCAGCTGCCTGACAATGCTATGTAAGTTGATATCCTTATATTTTTCTTTGGATAACTATATGCAGGTGAATTTTTAAAATTTAAATTTGTGAGTGGCATACATTCATCAGCCTGCATTTTAATCATTGGAAAAAAAACTACGCTGTGATCATATTTGAAGCTCAATCCTTTGGCCCCAGGTCATACCAATTTTAGTAACATTTATAGATTTTCTACACTTATGTAATATCTTGAAACTGGAGGTAGGGAGGAACCCAAGCTGAATTTCCTCAGATGCTAAGAATATAAAAAGACCATATGTAAAGGGATCCCCCGACAATTATCTTTAAATAAAGGGGAAAATCTTTGTAGCAGGCTGATTTCCCCCCTCTCTCCTCACACTGTTTACTCCATTCTCTGTCACTAAAAGGAGTGCAAAGAAGAAGGCTTTATCTTTTCTTTTTCTCTCTATAAGCCTAATTTGAAAGGTGGATTTTGAGCTCATGTCCTTAGTGTCCAGATGGACACTAAGATTATGACCCAGATCAGTCTTTTCTCTTTTTAAATTTATCCTAACCCTCTCATCAACCTAAAGCCACTGACAAAAAAAATGTTTAAGTAGCTGTTAATATAGTGTATAGAAAATATTTTATAAAATACTGGCAGTACAAGAATTTGAATTTGATAACCCTTTTAGTATTCCTATGTGTTCTATTTTGAATAGTCAGTGAGCTTTCCTGTTGCTTTGTCAGGATATATTTTGTCCTTTAGAAATTGGATTCCATTCATCTCTATGCTACACTTTTATAATTTGACTCTGGGATTTTTCTAAAAATGGTTAAATGTATGTTTTACAATATTGAAGTTCTGTGAATGGTTTTAACTATATTTCCTAGGCTAAGACAGGATAAGGATTCTTTACCAGGGGAATATTATCACTTCAAACTGATGTCTTTAAGTGAGCAGGCAAGAAAATAATAATAATAAAGAGGAAATGCACCAAAGTATTCATAGGCAATGCTTCTAAAAAACATAACCACTTCACCATTGCTCAACATGTAACTTGCAAGATGTCATAGAGATCAATATTACTGGACTGAAAACTCATGAAAAATGGAGATATCTTAGTTCAATCATCCATGTGTTCATTATATGCAAAAAGGAAAACAACCTTTATAACCACATGCCTGAGACCTTAAGCATTTACTGAAATGGAACAGAAACAGCAAGGCCCAGGGCCTCCAGAGCAGTTGGATTAGAATGGGAAAATTTTCTCATTGAGATACTATAGGTAAGCCATCAAAATGGCAAGGTTTGAATGGAATAATGCACATCATCAGGAAAGTAAAGCAAAAAATCCCCCAAAACATAGCACATGTAACCACAATATACGCAAATGTATTTATTTATAAATCTTAAATGGCACCCTATAAATTATGCACTATGAAACGAATTTAAAAGGATAACATAAATAAAAATATAAATTAGAACATTTACATTTTCTTCCCAATGAGCATGTTGAACAACACCCTGGAAGAATGTACCTTACCTTGCTGTTCCTTGTTGTAAAGAATTCTTTCATGCTCAAAAACAGCACTCCCTCTGGTTTTCTAGATAGTTCCATTATTAACCATATCATTTGATCAAGGAAGTATTGAAATCTATGGCTCAAAAGTTTTGCAACGGATAGAAGTTTAGGCTACTATATTACCTTCATGAATTTGTTTTTCCAGGTAAAATTAGCCCTCTGAATAAAGTAGAAACATCTCAGATGTGTGTATTTCAAATAGTCTCAGTCAAAAAGGACAGCTTTTAGGGCCTGGGGTTCCTGGGTGGCTTCTGGACCTTTGCTGTCATAAAAAAGGATGTAAATGAAGGATAGAAAGCCCATGTGTTGAAGCTTGTCTTACCTGGGCTCTGTTTTTCTTCCCCTCAGTGCAGCTACCATGATTTCCCTGCATGCTGTGGGCATCATTTCTAGAAAAAAGCCAATATTGCTTTAAGGAGTTCCTGATTCCTCACATCATAGCCCTTTGCCTTCACCTTCCCCAAACCACCACAGAACTTCTTAAAGGCTCTATGTTCTGCCTTCTCTCCAGGTTCAAGTGGACACTAAGTGACATAGAAGGATTAAAGTATCTCATGCTTTCCATTCTTTAAAGAGATGGTTGCATTTTTAGTTCCCTTCTTTCAAAAGGAACTGGAATGTTTGAATTTGAAATATTGTAATAGATGGTATAATTTTAGTTCACTGCTTTTTTCCCATCAGGTTAAAAATATCTTTCAAATAATATTCTTCTCATTGGATTTTCTTAGTCTCAGATTGTCTCAAACCGAAATTTGGAGGCTTTTATTAGTTGATAGTAGCTCCTTACTATTAATCATGCTCTTTGATATATACTAAATTTGACTTGATTTATTGAGAGATTGATACCAATGACCTTAGAATGAATAAAAATCATAATCATATTTAATACTGATGCCTGGTTATCATGCTAGCTGCATATTAATAACCTGATGGATTTGATGATGCATTTTAAGGTGAAATATTACAGATTTTTCTTTTGTTTGTCTGATTCTATGTTTTCTCATGTGTCCATTCTATTTCATTTTCTTTAAGACAGAGGTTTCTCTAATTTATTCCTAAAAACACACCTCTTATCTTTTTTATTGAAGTATGCAGGTAGCTATGCATAGTAAACCATATTTCTCATTAATTTTCAAACTTTGCTTTCTGAGTGAAGAGGTTTGGAGTCCATGATGGGATAGGACTTCATTAAAATCCTGGTTTTTATTCTCAAATTTAAATTTTCAAATGCTTTTCAGCTACATCTCAGTTATGTCTATTAAATCTGATACTTCTTTTCACCCTTAATAGTGCTGAGATATTTATTATACTTATATAAAGTATACGAAAACTGGAGACACTCCACGGTATTGAAAACTGGGAATTCTGACCCAATATGCATGATGAGTCTTAGATTTGACCTGGCTTATTTGGAAAGCTCCTATGTCAGCAAAATTTGTCTGCCAAGTGAGAACAAGAGCCTGGCATTGTTTTCAGAGGAATTCAGCCTGTTTTCAGAATGTGAAAACATTCTCATCTAGAGGCTAGAGATTTTAATGACTAAGGTATTTGCCCAAAGATAAATGAATTGAGTGCAATGGAGAAGGAAGTTGTGTAAATATTTTAGATTTGCAACATCCTGTATTTATCTGTTAAATTTTTATTGTTACTTGTCACCCTCATAAAAGCACTGCATTTTATTCATTTGAAATTAAAATCATAGTGGCTGTCTCTAGTAAAAAGAGATTGAGTGAGATGGGCACCTAGTAGGTCTTAGAGATTGAGCTCACAATATCCATTCAGCTCTCAAAAGCCAATCATGGGATCAGAGTCACCTTGTTAATGATTGGTTTAGAAATAGAAAAATGATCTATTCTTGGTCAATGAGACATGAAGGAGACCATTACGAGAGGGCCTCAGAAATATTTTCTTGCTTTTAAGTAGTAAACATGGAGGAAGACACTTCTTTTCTACTTGCCCTGGACATTGTAGTATCTGCACACAATGGCCAGAATCACTGGAGCCCGCTTGCTGTCAGCCTGAGGTTGAAGCACACATAGAAATGAAGGAAGAGCTAAGGTGTTGGAGAAGCAGAGACCAAGTTTTCACACCCCCCTTCTGATGCTATTCTATCTCAAGGTTTGCAATGTGAGCTATTCATTTTTGTTCTATTTAAGCTGGGGTTAATTTTCTGTTCCTTGCAAATGTGAAAACATCTCTGATTCAAATAGATCCAAGATCTTGATCCTCAATTAACTGTCTACTATTACCTGTAACTATCAATGGAGAGATGCAAAAAGAAAAGAAGGCCAGGTAGATGTATGCTAGATAATCTAAAGAGAAGTATATGGCAGATTCTTTTTGTCCAGACAAGGAGCATACATAAACAGCCTCATTTTCCTATACATCAGTAGTTCTTATGTGTGTTCTAAAGACCCTTGGCAGTCTGGTAATACCAACAGACCACTTTAAGATAAATATTTTTAAATTATTTTTTAAAAAGCATGTAACCACAAATATTATATTGCAATAGCTATCAAAATATGTTTAAAAAAACTAAATTTGTGGTGTATATTACACGTGCTTCTTCATCAATGTTTTTTTATGAAAGACTTATTGCCAAGTCACATAGCTACTATAATTTCAAAGTAGTAAATAAAAATATTTCAAGATATCTGCAAATATTAAGTGATATAAAAAATCAACATTTCCTGGTGCGCCTGGGTGGCTCAGTTGGTTGGGCGGCCAACTTCAGCTCAGGTCATGATCTCGCGGTCCGTGAGTTCGAGCCCCGCGTTGGGCTCTGTGCTGACCGCTCAGAGCCTGGAGCCTGTTTCCGATTCTGTGTCTCCCTCTCTCTCTGACCCTCCCCCATTCATGCTCTGTCTCTCTCTCTCTCAAAAATAAATAAACGTTAAAAAAAAAATCAACATTTCCTATTTTATCATGGTCACAGTTTTTGTTAATACTTCTGTGGATTATTACCTTCAGTTCATAACTGAAGAAAATACTTAATTTTAGTTACAGTTAGTGAAATAATAATATACTGATTTTATTATCCAATTTATAAGCCCTCTAAATTCTATCCAAGGGTAACTTGTTTAGGAACCCTGTTCTTACCTTTAAAAAAAATATTCTAATCCACTTTGAAGACAGACTTTTTTGTTTTGCTAATTGGGCCCACATACATAACATTAAAACCACAGATGTGTATACATGTATCAAATATAAATTAGGATTGCTACCACCTCAACTCTTGGACATTTATGTTCAAAAACCTTCTAGCTACTTTTTTCTTATGATGTTAGTTGGGGATTTTCTAGACATTTACCAAAAAAAAAAAAAAAAAAAGAGTTTTGTTGTTATTCGTGGAGAAAATTCCAATTTTTCAAAACTATTTTTCTTTCTGTATAATCTAATATTGGAAAGTTACATGAGTATTGCTTGGAAATAAGCTCTTTGACTAGGTGTTATTGCTAATCTTGGCTAGAACAACAACAACAATAAAAAGGTGAAATTTGTTATCTGCTAAAATGCCTATCCTGACAATCATGATTTCCATTTTATTGGTCCAAACCTCAAATGTAATTCTCTAAAAATCATTTGCAGTTTCACTCTGCATCAACTTAAAAATCTAGACAGTGAGAAAACATATTTTATGATTTTGTAGAGTTTTCTCACAAAGCTCTATATTTAATTTAAAAATAGGGGCGCCTGGGTGGCGCAGTCGGTTAAGCGTCCGACTTCAGCCAGGTCACGATCTCGCGGTCCAGGAGTTCGAGCCCCGCGTCAGGCTCTGGGCTGATGGCTCAGAGCCTGGAGCCTGTTTCCGATTCTGTGTCTCCCTCTCTCTCTGCCCCTCCCCCGTTCATGCGCTGTCTCTCTCTGTCCCAAAAATAAATAAACGTTGGAAAAAAAAAATAAAAAGAAAAAATAATTTAATACTAGATAGATATCCCCTACCCTCATTCCAAACTCCCATTGAGAAAGCATTTCACTTGGGTTTTGTCCTTCAGCATATCCCAGTAAACTTTGCAAAATGTTCGCATCTTTTCATTTCAAATAGATTTGATGTACAAAAAGTGGTGGCTTCTTTTCATTGAGTAGATAAATTAGTGGAACTATGGAAAAAAATATGAGTGACAGGGTCTAGAGGGCCTGGAGGGCAAATATATATATAATATATACATATAATCATATACATATATATGATATATACATATATGTATATATCATATATATGTATATATCTCTCCATATATATGTGTGTGTGTATATATATATATATATATACACTTGGCAAATATAAATATGTATTTGGCATATACATACATACATATATATGGCAAATATATGTTATTATATTATATTTGTATTATAGTATAGTGTAGTATAGTATAGTATTGTATTATACTGATGTGGATAGTTAGAACGATAGATAAGCAAATTGCCCTTGAGCAATGTTGTGATGTAGCAGTGCTTCAAGCACCCACCCTTTATAAAAGTAGATGTATTTTTAACAATAAGATTCATTTGCAATGAGCAGTTTGATGTTTCAATGTTGTCCATCAGTGTAACTTTTCTATTAATTGAACTCTCATTGTTAGTGGAAGCTGTAAGAAACTACTGGAGGATAGTCTCCTTGGGGTTTTTATTTGATCAAGTCTTCATCATTTCCTGAAATGGCTAAGCCTCATTAATAGCTACTACTCCTTTCAAAAGAAGCTGCCCTGTTTCTTCACCTGGAGCTTATCAGACTTCGATAATGAATGATGTGGAGGAAACTGCTAGGCATTAGCATTAGAGTCATCATTAGAGACAAGATTATATCGTTAAAAATTATTATAGCCAGAATGAAGATCAGGATAACAGAGGAATATAAGAGGTAACAGACTCGCTTGAAAGAAACATAAAAAATTGGGTGAAATGGAAGCCTTAAAGTTTTCAACTTCTCAAAAGACTGAATTCAATTGATTCCTTTTTTTTTTTTTTTTTTTTTTTTTTTTTAGGTTAAGGTTGATACCATACTCAAGATCTGCTTTGAGGATGAAGCCATGAAATTCAATTCTATTTATCAAGTATTTATTCATTTGTGTATTTATTTATTTATTTATTTATTTAAAAAACATTTTTTTTCAACGTTTTTATTTATTTTTGGGACAGAGAGAGACAGAGCATGAACGGGGGAGGGGCAGAGAGAGAGGGAGACACAGAATCGGAAAAGGCTCCAGGCTCTGAGCCATCAGCCCAGAGCCTGACGCAGGGCTGGAACTCACGGACCGCGAGATCGTGACCTGGCTGAAGTCGGACGCTTAACCGACTGCGCCACCCAGGCGCCCCATGTGTATTTATTTTTCAAGTAATTTTTGTTATAAAAACAATATGTGGTAGAACTTCCTCAATCTAATAAAGGGCATCTAGGAAAAAGAAACCCACAGTTAACATTGCATTTAATGGTAAGAAAATGAATGTTTTCCTCTTAAGATTATGAGCAAGACACTCTTGCCACTTCTATTAAATATTGTACTGCAAGTTCTAGCCAGTGCAGGAAGACATAAAAAGGATACAAAAGGCATCCAGATTGGAAATGAAGCAAAGCTATCTCTATTCACAGATAACATGATTTTTTATATAAAAAATCCTAAGGAATCCACTAAAAAAACTATTACAACTAATACACAAATTTGGCAAGTTTGCACAATGTAAGAGCAATATACAAAAATCAATTGTATTTCTATACAATGGCAATAAATCTCTGAAAGTAAAATTAAGAAAATAATTTCATTTATAATACATAAAAGTATAAAACATAAAAATATAAATCCTGAACTCTGAAAATTATAAAATATTGTTAATAAAATAAAAAAAAAATTAAATAAATGGAAAGGTATCTCATGTTCATGGATTAGAAGATTTAATATTGTTAAGATAGAAATATTCCTCAATTTTATCTACCATTTCAGTGCGATCCTAGCATGACTTTTTATAGAAATCAACAAGATGATCATAAATTTATATTTAAATGCAAGGGACCAGGGTGCCTGGGTGGCTCAGTTTGTTGAGCATTAGACTCTTGATTTTGGCTCAAGTCATGCTCCTAGGGTTGTGGGATCAAGTCTTGCATCGGGTTCCATGCTGATTCTCTCTCTGTCTCTTTTTCTCTCTCCCTCTGTCCCTCTCCCCCATTCATGCATGCTCTCCTTCTCTTTAAAATTAAAAAAAAAAAAAAAAATTAAAGGGACCAAGAATGGCCAAACAATCTTTATAAGGAACAAAGTGGAATCACATTTCTCAATTTTAAAATTTACTACAAAGCTGTAGTAATAAAGACATAGTGGCATTAGCATAAAGATAGACATTTAGATAAATTGGATAGAATTTGGAGTCCAAATATAAAACTGCTTGTGGTCAATTGATTTAAAAAATGCTGCCAAGATTATTAAATTAAAAAAAAGTCTTTCCAACAAATGGTTCTGAGCTGGATATCCATATGCAAAAGAATGCAATTGGACCTTACCACACACAAAAATTAACTTAAAATGGATCACAGACCTACCAAGGCCTAAAACTATAAAACTCTAAAAAAAAAAAAAAAAAAAAAAAAAAAAAAAAAAAAAAAAA